ATTATAAAACTCATCTAGCCATAATTATAAAGTCGCTTATTACTAGCGACTGTAGCTGCAACCCAAAAACCCAGTAGGCTAGTGAAAACCCACACAGACGGCGAGAACACGCAGACTCCACCCAGACGTGTATCCCAGTGGTACTATCGTCCCGCCAGTTTTTAATCTGACTGCAATTAAAGTGTGCACAAAAGCCTATCTGAAATGAAGCACAAATAGAATTATTGCAGGTCTAAGTATTCATAGCGGGTAGGAAAGCAGTTTATAGCGCTTAGGCCGGGTGCAACAGAGGAGTGCTGGATTTAAGAGAAATAATCTCTCTTTATATGCGTTAGTGTAGGAAACTGTACCTCTAACCTGTCACGTGGTCGGACAAAGCGTCTTAATGAGTTTCGGGGAAAATCAGTTACACTTACTAGTGAAAGGGTTAACTGGTTTGCATCGTTTTCATGATAAGGCTGTTGATGATGATTATTAATTTTTGATTGTTAGGTAACATCAGTGCCATCAGCTGAATGTACCATATTTCCTTTCATAATTACTCCGTGTAGTGTTATACGAATGCGTCATTGTCCCGTAAGATTAGGGTATTGTTGCTGTTATTGTTTCAGCAAGCTGAAAAAAGACGTAATTTGTCACCATGGAAATTCTAACGAACGGAAGTAATGGATTCCTCTTGTATTTTAAATTGTGCAAAAAACACACACAACCTCAGGTCAAGTTCATGCTTACCAAAATATTCTGGGAATATGAGAGAATGTCGGTGCACTTAATTCTGATTAACGTTAGAATGAAGTATTTCGCCATGCACTTTTACTTGAACACCAATGCATCGTTCTGAGATTCTCGATTCCTTCGAGTTCGTAAGGTTAGTAGGATTTTTTTTTCTCTAACACAACTCGTATTCAAAAACAAAGGTAGGTTTATTTTCCCATGTTTTCCATAAGAAATATGGTTACAATTTAACTCAACAAGAAAAGAAAATTGTTTAGAAATCCTTGATATTTCGGTATTCCGTTTTTCCTTTTGTAATATGGGATTTCACTTTGCTGAGGGCGAGCATCAATTAAATTAATGGGTAACGCACGCGTAAAATTTGTGTATCGAATTCATTCCGCAACAAATTGTTTTGAACTTTCAGTGCATACTAATTATTAGATATTTATCTGAGGTAAGATGAAATGACTGGCCGGACATATCCCGTCCCGCTAGCTTTCTAATAGTCTAATCGCTTCACTGTCTTCCCGACATCACGTCTGTGACTAAATCTGTTTAATAAAAACTCCATCTTACACTTTCAGCCGTTCGTTTTATCTGGCCTTTTAATTCTTATGTGTTATTGGTTTTATATTTGGGGGCATCTACACGTATAGAACAAAATTGAATGTGAGGCTCAAAAAAGCAGCAACAAAGAAAAAACTACCCGAACAATGACAGTGTTGTTGAGTATTTCCTTTTATTGTTTTCACAGGCTATGCTTAATGTGAACAACCTTAATTCTGCATTATGAGCTCATGTTAGATGCTTGTGTGATTTAAAACGAGAAGGGGTGTATAAAAGCACGTGCGCTGACCTTGTAATGTTCTGTGAGTAATAAAGTCAAAAGCTAAGGATAGGCTTTATGAAACTTTAATCTAATGCAATCGTTCTTCATCCGTAAAGGCTGCCTCTATTTTATGTAGCTGATTTTTTTTTTGTTGTTGTATTTCTTGTATGGACGGCGGAATAGTTCAGTGAAAGAGCAAAGAAAATAAATTGATGTTTTGAAATGGGATAGAGAAAGCGATCGGACCCTCTGGCGTTTCTGCAGTAATTGTCCGCATACAGATATAAAAGGATTCAATTTCCAGATCGGGTGCGATAAGTACTCCACGTGCCCCTCAGTTTCAGACATTGTCGTTTCAATACGACAGGGTCAGTTTGAAAGTTCTAGCGACACGGGCGCACAACACTGTAACCACTCGAAGTTTTCACAGTTAACTAAAGCAGCCAGTGTCCGCACGATTCATTCAATGCAGAATAACGTGTTTACGGACGTTATCTTTCGGAAATAAGTTTCCGCTTATTATATTATGCACTTAATCTACGCTTTGTACAGTCAGCGCTTGGATGAGAAATATTTCACAGTGTTTTGGCAAAATCTACTAACCAAAACTTGAAGTTAACCTGTCATGAAGAAGTTCTAATTTTGAACACATTATTTGTATTAGTAAAATTGTTTAGAAATGTTTAGGAAGCAAGATATTCTATAGAATACTGAAGAACTGTATTAACCCACAGAAACCTGTTATCTTAAAGTACTTTATTCGCTGGATAATATTTAGTGCGCCTTGGATGGGTGAATGTTTTTAAAGCAAACAGGCCAAAGACCTGTATCTTAAATTGACTATATGAGAATTAATGTATGACTGGATTTCAGTTGAAGGGTGTTGGTGTAGAAGCAATTGTACACGTTTTTCTGCTTTTACTCCTAAACGTAACATTACTGGGTACCGTTACGCATAAAAACTCCTGGCCAATTTCTTCGTTTTATGCTGTATTATAAATTATCATAAGTGTCGTAATATTTAAGTAATTATGAGTCATTTATATCAAAACTCAACGATCCTTTCTCCATTGTTTGGTCCTGTAATTGTAAACCACATAAAAACCGATCATATCAAAGCAATAGACGATATTGGTATTTGTATTGTTGTTGTTTTTTTTGGCGGTTACTGTATCTCCTCGTTTATTTTAAAAAATAGGTGCTTTAGGGCCGCTTCGGCTTGGCTCTTTTTGATCGCAGTAATTCGACGTTTTAAATTTTCCCAGGATTTGATGTTAATGCACTCTGGTTCATGAGAACATAATCTAGAATGATCCTAATTCACAGTTTTGTGGTTTTACTTAATCCAAATGGAAACTGTTACTCTTCAGAAATGTAATTCAGGTTGACAGCTAAATCAGAAACCCGTGAGCACTTCAGGTTATTGGTTGTTAATTACCGTTTATTAATTACCTATTTCATTCATCCTAACTCACCGGTAATTTATTTTGAACACAGAAATTTTTTTCTTGTACAAGTTTATTGAAGATTCGTTCTGACGCGTCTTTAGACCGAAGCGCCAGTTGAATGACTGTTTTCTTTTCTTGCTTTCTTTATCATGCGGGCTACTCAAATTAGTGGTTATATCATTAACCAATACATCTATTTTTATCTAACACCATAGCATTTGTCTGTGTAGGCTGTTGGGTATTAACCGAGATACTAGTGCTTGACGAACATTTGTTGCGTGTTTATTGCGTTAACAGTGGATATACTATGGAAAACAGACTCATTGGTTGTGCTTTTAACCATGTGGTTCGACACGACTGTAAAAGCAATATTAGGCGTGTAACTTGTTTTTTTTAGAATTTGTAGTTATTTGCGTAAGAGTTGATTGTATACGCATCAATCTTTACATTTTTTACCGACGCCTCACTGTGAAAGTTGATCTTCCAAGTCGATCATTAAAGATGCAAGAAAAAATGTGCAAAGTATCAAAACTTTAGAAATTTTACGATTCAAGCTTTTATGTGTCCTTTAAACAATAGCTTAAAATCCATCCTATTCAGAGCTCTATGACCACCGGTTGCGATTAGGATAGTCCTACTATAGTAGTTTACCATAGGAAACCTACAGAAGGACAGTGGAATACACTACAGAAATAACGTAAAATAACAACGTAATTTTTGTTGTAACGGGAATATTTGTTTGAAAACATTAAGGGACATGTTTTCAAACATTAATATATTATGACGTTATTATTTGTTATTTTCAGTATAAACAACGTTATTAATTTAGGTAATTTTCCACATGTTATATATAACTCTGAATTAGCAGATCTTGACAATTCGAAGAGATGAATGTCCAGCCCACTACTAATTTTACGACTGAAAACTAAAATGTTGATCAAACTAAATGAGACCTAAATGTCACTTCGTTAATTAGAAATACAGGCTATATTAAATCAGTACCTTAAATATTTAGATTTATACAACACTCATGGCTCTATGTATCATTTTCGAACGATTTATAGTCTTTACAGTTTACATGCTTTACTTTAATATACAGCTGCTCTCGCTAATTCAAAGAATCGGATATGATTTAATGGCTGAGAAACAGGGAATAGGAAAAAAGGAAACCTATGGCATTGGAGCCAAATGAACTTTCAAATGAAATCGCGTTGCGATCTTCCATCCTGAGATTTAAATATGCTGATATGCGATGAAATATGTCGACCTCTATTTATTATTCGTGTATTTGATGGGCGTTTGTGTGCTTAGAAATGGCTGTTGTTGGTTTGTTGAGCGGCGTTATAGATTGGATAAATCATTTCTCCTGTTAAACGATATCATCTCACATGAAGTTTGTGCAGTTAACCCCTGCCTCCGTAAAGCAGGACAGCTCTATGATGTGGGAAGACCATCTCGCTTGCAAAAACCTGGTTTCGCTGGTTAACCAGACAGACTTTTCTTTTGCTGTTCTTGTCCGGCTGCCTTGAATGGGTAAGATCTGATGTCAAGGATGCTGAACGTCACCTTCTCGTTGATTCCTGCGGACACTGTTTCTGTATTATTTTCGCTTTCCGCCAATCACGTGCGCCGCCTTGTCGGTGTACCTGGGGGTCGTGTTTTTGGCCTGCATCAAATTTTCCTCTCCCCCGCTCTTGGTTTTCTTTCAGTCTGTTTGTTTTAGTAACTAAACCGGGAATGGATTTAAATAGTTAATTGGACTGAGAGAAACCACACGTGATTGAATTCTTACTGGATTAAGTCAGACTGCGCAAAGTCCCCTCCTGCTTTCGCGGGGTCTTTGTTTCTTATGTTTTTTAAATCCCACCCACTGGAAATGGAGAAGTAAAAAAAAATCTCAAAAAAGTTTTCACTCCAAATAAGACCCCAGAAAGTTCAAAAGCCGCGAGCTGGACTGTAGCGATGGAGGCGGAAAATTGTTTGTCTTTCTGCTCTCCCCCTAACAGGACCACTCCAGACAATTCTCCGGGTCTGGAGTCCAGCTCTGGATCCTTCCATCCCGGGGACGACCTGCCGAGCCACCCGCACCACCCTCACCAACACCGGCTCAGCCTTAGGGGCGAGTTTTACAGTTCCTCCAGGGTGGGGAGATTCTGCGAGAGCCCAGGCGAATTTGCGCACGGCGGCGCCACGCCGAATCCCCGAGTTTCCCCGGTGAAACTCCAGAGCAAATACTTGGAAAATATCAGTCCGGGCCAAAAGGGTTTATCGATAAGCGGGAAGGCAGTTTTTTACGAGAACAACCAGGAAGGTAAGACGAAGACAGTCCGTGTTAAGAAAAAACGTATTTTGAAACATTAACGTGCATGAGTGTGTGTGAAAGTGAATCATTCATTCAGGAATAATAATTCTTATTAATTGTGTAATAATAATGATAATTAGCAGCAATAAAAGTATGAAGTATAAATGCCGATACAATTTTTTTTCCTGGAATCGAAAACATTTTTTAAAATGTGGTTATGATTTATAGTTCACTTGTTTGTAGCATGTTTTTTACTTAATTGTTATTTTTATAGCAATCAAAGCCTGACATGATTACTCAGTCACTTATTTCTTACTTGAATGAAATCGTCCAAACTTATTAACGGACAAAGGTATTAGTTTATATAATATAGTGGGATGGTTTGATTTTTGTAACCTGTACTTTGTTTTTGACGTCTTTTAAAACAGTCTCTGTTGGACAGTTTGTGTTTTAGATTACCAGTTTTCTTTTTAAAAATTTGAGGGAAAGAAACTAGAACTAGGCTATGATGCCTTTTATTATTACGTCAATTTCTGATTATTTTGAAAACAATGTTTTTATTTTATTTTTAATGAAAACATGCACATTTGCGAGCATCGGGCGTCAGCTGACTCTTTAGTGTTTGGTTCAAAAAGAGAAATATTAAAGAGTTTAGAGGCAGAGCAGTTTTATCATTGATCTGCGTGCGTAATTACGGGTGAATATGATTCTTACTACATTCCTACTCCAATCCTTTTACATTTTTGTGATATTTTCCGCGTGTATTTCATTGGTGAAAAGAGGGAGAGTTTAGGAGAAACGGCAGTATGATGCCATTAGAGTTTCTTCTAGTTAAATGTTAGGTGTTTAAAAATTCTGTTTACACTATTAAAAATTTAAAAAGTCTAATCCATGAAAATGGCATTACTGTAATAGGCTAAAGTCTACAAAACTCATTGTTTTTTAAATACTTTGCTTGTTAAAAAAACAGAACTAAATTTCAACAATAAAATAAAAGTCTGTATTGCCTTGCTTGCCAGATACATATTTTGCACATACATTTCTTCTCACACTGACCATTGCAGATGTAGTTGTGACCTATAAAGAGTAGATGTGTATTTATTACACACGCTTACCTAAATAAGGTTGTGAAATAAAAATACTTGAACAGACTTTTTATCAAATAACTATTCAAACATAATAATCACGAAAGCATTTTATAGACAATTAGTCTATAAAAATGTGCAGGGTCCAAAAGTGTAACGTGTATATACAATATACAACATATACGTAATTTGCATAACATATATACAATTAAAGATCTACAAAGTATCTAAAATAAAACCAGATACACGTGCTGTACATGCATTTAATGCGTTTAAGTGTTAAAACTAATAATTCACAGACTGTCAATTATTGAGAAATCTTGAAAACTCTTCCAGTGAACGGATGACAAATAAAATGTAAAAACATACACAAGATGTGATGTTATTTTAACGTGCGCCGATTCCAAAAATATTTTTTATAGGTTTTGAATGCACTAATAGTCTTTCTTTGCTTGAATGCGCCAGTCATATACGTGTTTGGTCATTAGGTTCAGGACAAATTTTGAAATAAATCGTAAGTCAACAGTGTCCAGTAAATATCGTTCATTTCTGTACTGTGTTTTTCTTGTTACAGATTACTTTTCGCTTTATCTTACAGCGCAGAATCATTTATATCAGACGTTATATTTGTGGTTCATATACGGTTATCCGAAAGCTTACACATAATTAAACTGTGATGCACGGAGAACTTCTTCAACAGACAGCTGGAGCAGGGCGAGAACTCGCATTAATTAGGCATGTTTTTGGGATTGCGGAACAAGTCGGGATTCTGTGCGAGCTTGCTTGCTTTGTGATTCGAAAAGGCCTAAGTGCTGACAAATAATCATGTTGTGATTGTTTCGATGACACGTGTGGAGAGGATGTTTGCTACTGAAATTGTGTTTGCACATATGGTTTAATATTTTATGGTTTGAAACATTATTTTAGTTCGACACACAATCTGCAGGGCGTCACCAAGGTAGAAAAATGAAAAAAAGTTAAATCATGTACACGTATAACGCAATACAAACAGAACATTAAAATTAGATAGATATACCATACTTTATTAATCCCGTAGGGAAATTGATGAATTATGATTCTGTGATCGCTTCATTTTTTTTTCTCTCAGTGTAACTATTTAGTTTGATCGCCCTCGGTTATTTTTGCAAATACTCCTAGTCTATCCATAAAACAATTTCACATTTAAAATACTTTAAATGTACACATAATGTCCAGCGAGAGGCTAAGGCACAGAACACCCTCGGGAGTGAGAGAGGCAGGGTAATTAAAGGCGTTTGTCCTGGTAAACACTCCGTTGTTTTAATAGCAAAGCATTAAGCACTGATTGCACCAGCTGTGCCTCATCCTGATGACAGATTAGGCTGCCCAGCTATAGAAGGCAACCTATCTGAACGGAGGGCAACGGGCTTACCTTTTTAGAATTTAAAGGTGCTACTGAAAACTCGCGAATTAATAAAATAGTTTCCCTGATTGGGATTTTGTTAATTTAACGTGTTCCTGTGTAAAAAGTATTTCTGCAGAAGGTAGATCTTAAATTATATCAGAAGAGGTTATGTGGACCCTGCATCTACTGGTTGTGTCCAGTACTTTTTAGGGAATTGTTCGAGCTTGGGGTCGAAAACGAATTGAAGGCGAGGCGCTAATTTATTTTTCTGAAAAACACAGAAATTAAAAACATACGGCTGAAGAAGAAAATAAAGTTGTAGAGGCTACAAGGATCCGAGAAAAATATTTCATGTCCGTTTGACAAGGGATCAAACGGCCTAGTAATGTCTGCGGGAACTGAGGGGTAGCGATAAAAGTGTCAGCTCGGTTTATCAGCGCCCTGACACTATAATTACAATAAGTTTTGAAGTGAAGTAAGATGGGGGCAAAGGTCTGTTTATGAGACCGACTTCAGTTCTTGCCTCACAATTAACGGGCGGTTTCTCCACAGCTTCGCTGCAGTCTGCCGCCTCAGTAGTCTAAACACGCTTCTCTACTAACGTCCGACTCCACAAAAAGTCTTCTATGCTATACGAGTCCGAGATAAATCTGTTCTGATAGAACAGGCTACCCGAACTTTGGTACAAATTAGGAATATATTTTACATGCTAAATTTTCCAGTTTGTTTAAGGTAGTGCATATTCAATAGAATACTGTACTTGTCCAAATGAAAGACTAAGCACCACTCCCTGGTACAAAGTTTTATGTCGAAAAACTTATGCTCAACTCATATTCTTTTAAATGGCACTTAAAAAGTTACCTTAAGTTTTTATGACACTTTTTAAATCGCTCCACATTACAGACATCTGTGCGGTAGTAGGCCCATTCGTTATCTTCGCATTAATGTCTGGAGTTGATAACTGAAAAGCAGAAACTGATTCTCAGTTCTCAAGAGTAACGAGAGCTATTATAATTGCATTCTTATTATATAGGAATGTTTTAATAGCGTTTTGTCTTCTGCGTTGTTGTTAAGCCTAAAGAAAGCAAACCGTGATAGTGGAGGCCAAGAGACGAAACCCACTGTCAGGCGACCTTTTGAAAAAACTAATGACTATCTTCGGTTGGTTTTCGATAAAAATAAACGTCCTGCTCTCTGACATTTAAAATAAAAACATAATTTCAAGATACAGAAAGAAAAAAAATATACGCCGCTATAAACTATTTAAGCCTTGAAATTCGAAAATGGCGAACGAAAATCCGCATATACATCCTTATTCTTTTAAATCTGACCTTCTCTATGTGTTTCTAGTTTCCGGTACGGTTCATCGTGTAATGGTAAACCGAGACGATTAAAGCGTACAGTTCAGCTTGATAATGCCTTATGGTATAAATTAAAGCTTAAACCCTTGACCTCGCCTCTCTGGTATTATAAAAAATCCCGACAAGGGACGGAGGTCACCGCTCTAAGGCACTGACTGCTTGAAATATGTTCGAGTTTTTAGAATTTTGAGTCAGGTCTTATGAAAAGCCGAAATGCTAATAGTTCAGAAGGTAAATAGCCAGTCGGCAGTCTTTCCAGCATAACCGAAGAGGAGAGATCAGCATTTCGAGAAACTGTAAGAACTGTTCTGTTCTAGCGACACTGATTCTAACTCTGCTGTGACGTTTTTTTTAAAGTCAGCAATCGTTTTCGTAACTAAAGAGAGCACTGAATGACATAAATGATCCAAGTTTAATTTATTCCAACAATTTAAAGACACTGTTATGTAGACTAATAATATTAATCATCAGTATAATATACACTGCAATTCATATTGCTGCCAAAATCAACACACTTCTGGGAGTTAACAAAGACATATGTATCTGGTTCATTTTCTGGCAATAAAACAGTAAGGCCTACTTAAGCTATGGTTTCCAACAGGCAATTACACAACATCAGGACAATGTCTTAATATGACAATGATGTACCCTTTATAATTTTAAACAACAGACTACAAATACGTAAAAATGAACAAGATAATATGTGGCTTTCTACTCTTATCATTCTGATATGTCCCTACCAAGCTTGTCAAGAAATAGAAAACATTGTTTCGGTCTCTTTTCTGAAAACAACTTTGAAATTACAGGAGAAGAATGTCACCATTGGGAAAGTGTACCTATTACTTTAGTACTAGAGTACATAGTCCTCTTTTCTTGAAGAGCACAACTGTGTTTCACGGGGACTTTAAATAGTGGTCTGTTAAAAAAATGTCGTTATCAGCACCACTCTCTCTTCAAAGATGTCATCTGATTTGATAAATCAGTCGGCGGACTCCCCCACTCCAGCCCTGGTGTCTCTGTACAATACCAAGGCCCTCAACCATCTCCATGTCAGAGATCCCTCTCCTTCTTCCGGTCCCTCGTCTCTCGGACTCACGTGGAATACCAGCCTTCCTGTTTTGTCTGCTCTTGGAAAACTGTCTTTGAGCTGGGTGGGGCGAGCCGGGCTTCACGTATTTTCTTTAATTCTGTGTATTTTCCGTGGCCCGTCCACAGCCACGGTGTGCTGGAACTCGCCAAAGGTCCCTCGACAGCACTACTGGTGTCACACACAATCCTCTAGAAGAGGTTTAAGATAAGTCGCTCATCTGTGTTATGAATGAAGCTGTCTTGCCTCTTTCAATTCTTCTCCGCATGGGGAGTGCAGGGTCGGCAGAGCTCCATGTGAAGAAGGACAAATTTCACCACACAGTTCCACGAAGAGTTACTTTTTTAGCTTCACAATCAGGGTTCTCTCAAAACAAGATTCGCGGTTTGGTTTTTACCAGCCTCCTTCTTTCTAAGGTGTTTAAATTTGAATGGAAAGACAGGTGGTTGGGACAGGGGCAGGGGGCACCAGTTGTCGGACTAGGAAGTGGAATGAAATGCACTTGAAAAGCGCAGAATGTGAGCTCACACAGTTTTCACTCGGCCGCCCCATTCACAAACCCTTGGATTATAAACCTCAGCTTATAAAATGATGTAACGAGAACAGCCTTTTCAGCCCAACTGAGTCACTTTCCTGCACCGATTCCTTCACAATGCCAAGCTTAGCTTTGAAAAGAAAATACAGTTTACACTTACACAGCAGTGACAGTGACCAGCAATGAGTGTGTGTTGTGTATGTTGGGTTGATTAACCACTTCAGGTTAACTTGGTGCGTTTCGGGAGTTTTCACACTTGTTTCTAAAATGTAGTTTTGAAACGGAAGACTCGATTTTATTTTCTTAGAATTGAGAGATTTAAATAACTCATTATAGTATTGTGAATTTCCACTTTTGCAAGATGAGAGTTGGATTGATTTTCATTTCCCACAACCAAAGAATGTTTTGAGTTTATATATTGCACAATGAAATCCAAGTGGAAGTTCTTACATTTTCCAGTTTCGTATTGGAAACATTTCTGTTTTGTAAGAAACCCCAGGAAGGGAATACTTCGGACTGATTACAGAGGCTGCACAGTGTGGAAGGATGGTGGCTCAGGGTGTTGGTTGCATTGTGTGTGACCGACACCCTGGGCATTGTGGATGGTCCATTTGGTGAAAGTTAGACTGTTAATTAAGACTGTGTCTTTGCTCTCTATCAACATGGCTTGTGATTTCTGCACGTGGGGTAACTTTCAAGGCAATTTCTCTCTCACAACTTTAAACAACTGAAAAGAATGGGGTACCCCCGGCTTTATTTGTTGGAGTTAGGGTTTCTGTCAAGAACACGTCAATATCAATAAAAGGGGATAAGGTCCTGTTCAACAGTTTAGCTAGTTCTGATTTTCCATGGCTTGTGGGAAAATATTCTTTTTTTCTTGGCAATGTTTTTTAAATGACAAATATTGTCGTTAAATCCTTTGATTAAGTTATGTATACTGTATATACCAATAGTTCTTTATTATGCACGTGAGAGAAATCAATTCTGATATTCTTGATGTACTGACTTGCCAGAAAAAACAGAGCACGTTATACAGAAAGTAGATAAACCTGGAGCGTAAAAGCTTAAAACATCTGATCCTCTCTTGACATGCTGGTGAAAAGACTGCACTCCAGCAGGTGTTTTCAGAGCTTTGTACAGTTAATTTAAAACAAGGTCAACACAATTTTGGTGATAAAACTAACAAATATTTATAGAAACATAGTGGTGGTGTTCTTCAATTTGAAAATATCGACTACATATTTTTCCAGTGTTGTTTATATGGCCTGGTTTCTCTTTTTAAAATTTGTGATCCTTCATACAGTATATGCTTCTAATTGACATCTGTTCTTGGAATGATGTAGGGGAACAATCAACTTGCAGGCAGAGCTCTTTATTCCCGGTAATGTGCAGTCGTAGCCATTCTACCGTGCATCTTCTGCGTTGTACTTTGAGTCCCTTTCTCAATCACTGGCTTCTATAACCATCTGACTGGAAAGCATATTAGTCGGAGAGAAATTCAGTGTCAAAACAGCCCTCCCAGAATCCCTTTTTTTCCCTGAGCTCTGTGCCAGCCTTGTATAATTATCAGAAAAAAGGCTAAATGTTTTTTTGCTGTAGGTGCTCTGACATCTTATTGAAAAGGCCTGACTAATATGACAGGTGCAGATGTAGCTGTATCAGGATCCGATCCCGGTTGCTTACAGGCTCAGAGTCATGGTGAGCCACTCCCTAGACAGTGCAGGTCCTCTGCTGCAAGAGAAGTCTCTACTAAGTCTCTTGCATGCTGAGCCCTGATGCAGGGGAATCCATTATGCAGATGAACATGGGAAGATTGGCAGGGGATCTTAAGTGAAATCATAGGCCAGTAGCTTCAAACCATAGGCCATCATTGGATGCAATTCAAGCTTTAATTCTGAGGCTCCTGTTTTGTGCCAGGTTGAACATATTGTGTTGTAGGATTCTGATCCGTTTGTCAAGTAGAGCCTGGAAAAGCATGTAGCTGTTTAGTTGTCCTTGAGCTCTAAATAAGACATACATCTGGCAAGTACAGAAACCCACCTTATAACCATCACATTGTCATCTCTCTCTCAAAAGCTGCTGTAACATGCGCAGCATGAGAATGTGAGCTATCTTGTTAGAATATTATCATGTCAGGGTGAGTCTATAGAATCACTGCAAGCAGCTAGGCACTTGTGCCCAAGCCTTCACCATAGATTTGTTTATTCAGGACAACAATTATCGTCCCATTTGTCTCTGGCACCCTCAGAGGCATGAACAGACAAATAAACCACTGAAGAGAGCTGAGCCTCATTGCTGGTGAGTCCTCCTGAGGCATTGTGTTAACATCCTGATAGCATGAAGGCGTTGTTCTCCTCATAACCAGAGGTACCATCAGTTTCTTTCTCTATTTTCCTTTCTTGGTTTTCAGCAGGGTAACTCGATGTATAACCTGTGGCCAATCCACACTCTCACTAAAGAAGGGAATTAGTGCCTATGCAACAAAGTCACTCAAGTGTAACAGTTAATCGGAAATGACCAATCAATCAAAATGACAGCAAAAGCATTTAATATCCCCAAAAATATTAGTTTCTCTAAAATAAACACATACAGTGACAATATTTATATGTATATTTACATTTATTCAGTAAATTACATTTATTTACATTTACTCAGCATGTATTTGATTCTTTAATTTTACAATTTGTGAATAAAAAAATATATGCCTCATAAAACGGTGTGAGATTTATCTGTCTTATAAGTCATTATCCTCTAAAGAGAGACACCGTCTGTAATTCCTGTTCTCGCCAAGAGCTTTATATGAACACTGACGTCACGGGTTGATAGTGTTCTGGTTAAGGAATTGGAGGGGAAAGTTTGCATTCTAATGTAAGGGAAAGTAAAAGCTGAAAAAAAATACATCTGGCATTTTAGTATGGAAAAAATCAAGCTGAATTCTGCATTAAAAAACACAGCAGGGATGCCACACCTACTGTAGCTGTTAAGATGTATAAAATAGAAAGTATTTAAAAAACTCTGTGTGTTGCTTCCCTGGGAGTTGTTAACAGCCTCTATCTCTGCCTGTGTCTTATTCTCACCTATAACTCCAGGTCAAGAGATCACGCAATTGTCCAGTTCCATTATAGTGAAATTTCCTCCCTACAAATCCAGTATCTGTTTTAAAGTCACGGCTCAAGACCAGTTTCTTCAGGTCGACTTTTTGCGGTTGTGAAGTCCTTTGAGGACCTCATAAGCCCTGTAACACGTTGCACTTGCAATGTGACTTTACCATAGCAAACATGAAGAATGATGAAGAAAAAATTCTGCCAGTTGAGATTAACAGTTGTATATATAGACTCAAAAAAGAATGTTGACATTTGTCAATATAAATTGTCATCATTGTTGCTTAATTTTATTTTCTTCTGTTTTTTACTGACTCTTCAGATTGAAACTTTATAAACCTTGCTATCTTCAGTCCAGTCAGCTAAGGAAGTCATTTAACATTATTTGACTTATATTAATAGCAGTGATATATTTAACGCAGCTGAATAACAAAACATGGGTGACTATGGTATATACGAACCTCACTTGCATTTGATATGATATGAGAGATGAAACATACTGCTTCTGCAGCTGTCTCCAGAGTGAAGAATATGCTGAGGTACAGACAAGCTGTCGCAGTCCAAAAATAGCACAAATGAGCATCATGAGTTTGAATCTTTATTTTGCTGTCTTGTGAGTAAATCAGCTTCTCACTTTCCATTCAAGCGAAAAAGCAATTTACTGCCCAGACAGCACATGGGAAAGTTCATTTGTCCTAACCTTACTTCCTCCACTAACTGGCATGCATCTCCTGGGTAAAGCAAGGCATGCAGATCCGTAGCCTGTTTACTGTTAAACTTACAGGACCCTGTCGTATTAAAATGAGCACCCCCGAATGTACTGGAATCATGCCCGTTTTCCCACAGCCCTTCCAGGCCCATTGACAGAATACCAGCCTTGCGTGTCACCCTCTAAATGAGTCCAAGGTACTCCTGTGTTTGAGCCAGCTCCATTTAGAGCTTGGCATTGTTTCATATTTACTCAACCCCTGCATCAAGCCTGCCTATTTTTATTGAAGGCTTCTATTTCTACTGTTACCTACATTTTGTGTGTGTCTTTCCTCTTGCTGTGGCGCTCGTGTTGCTATGTGATGGTAAAATAATAGTTGTTCACTTTCCCGCCCCATGGATAAACAGTCTGGGGTTTCCACGGAAACCTAACGCCCCAGCGCGTCTCCCTCTGACCTTGCCCCCCCGTTTTCCTCGCAGCCGGGGAGAAGCCCCACCCCAAGCCCCTGGGCTACCAGATGCTGCCCTCGGAATGCCGCCCTGCGCTGGACGACTGCGCCAAGATGAAGGAGCCGCCCGCCGAGCTTCCTGGAGACTCCATCGCCGACTCCATCGACCTGTCGGGCAAGAACAAGAAGCGTCGCAACCGCACCACATTCAGCACCTTCCAGCTGGAGGAGCTAGAGAAGGTGTTCCAGAAGACACACTACCCCGACGTCTATGCCCGCGAGCAGCTGGCACTGCGCACGGAGTTGACCGAGGCCAGGGTCCAGGTACTGTCCCCTGCAACCCCTCCTCTCCAGCTGCAGTCCCTAATGTCGTACCCACCCTTCCAGCCGTCGGAGGAAGATCTGCCACCGGCAGCCTCTGGACATTACATTTAGAGCAGTCCCGGTTTGGAAAACATGAGACCTGAGAGCTTGCATAGTGCTACCAATCCACACATGCAGCTGTTTTAGAGTTCGACTCAGTCATGTAAAATCTCTGCCAGTGATGGACTACAATCATAAAACCCAGGCATGTCGACACTATGCACACATAACAAGACTTGTGGGAAATGCCAACCTCGTGTCTGACTTCAGAATATAATAAAAAAGGCTACCTTCAGTTAACCATCATTAACTCAGTTGAGTGGCTGCTGCACGAGGAAGTGCACTTTGCAGGCGGGGGTCACTCCTGGTTAGCTGCGTTTGAAGCTGCGCAGCTCTGTGCAGAGAGAGAATCTCAAAGTAAACAGCATGCTTCACCGTAGCTCTCGCTGTGAACCCTGCCTTTGTTTTACTGCTCTCCGCTACATCATCCCCTGCTTTTACCTTAAAAAGTGTCGCGATCCCGGCGTCCAGGAGCTATCGCGCTCAGGTTTATGTCGTATCGTGTTCGTGGCCGTGCACCGCCGGTAGTGACAGCCTGAGCGCTGGGTTTTCATGTCGGTTCTGCTTCCTGCTCCGACCTCGCAGGTCTGGTTCCAGAACCGGAGGGCCAAGTGGAGGAAGCGGGAGCGCTACGGCAAGATCCAGGAGGTGCGGAACCACTTCGCTGCCACCTACGACATCTCCATCCTCCCGCGCTCCGAGGCCTACCCCCAGGTACCCCCGCCCCCCTGGCAGCCGAGCTCTGAATCCCGGGCTGGGTGACCAGGGGCAGAGAGACGCGCGCGAGTGTTGGGTCACTCCAGAAGACTGTTGTCCGACAGTCAAGTTGACAGGTCCTGGAGAAGAACAAGGCTTTCTAGAGTTCTTTTAATCCCAATTTCAGTTTGAGCAAGCTCAACAATTGAACCGATTATCATCTTAAGAAGGGACTTTACCAAGATGTTGAGCCCCTGAATGAAGGAAACTATAAATATTGAAGGCTAGTTTAGTTATTTAATAGTTCACTAACAAGCCCGTTGCTTAAGGGACAGTCTCTGGCGCCCCCAGCTATTAACCTTGTCCCTATCATGTATCTTCCAGATCCAGAACAACCTGTGGCCTGGAAACAGCTCTGGCAGCTCGGCCGGAGGCTGCGTCCTGTCCCCCGACAGCGTGCCCTCGTCCTGCATGACCCCGTACTCCCATTCCCACGGCAACATCCCGGGCTTCATGGGAATCTCTGGGTCTCCCAATCACCACCCGGGCATCAACAGCCTCTACTCCCTCCACAGCTTCCCCGCGAGCCTCGGCAGCCACTCCTTCGACCCCGTGCCCATGCCCGAGTCCGAGTACAAGCCCTCTGGCCTGGTGGCCTTGCGTATGAAGGCCAAGGAGCCAGGCAGCCTCCTCTCCTGGCCCACGTGACTACAGGACCGCGCCCGCTGAGAGGTGCACAGACTGGGGAGCTGCGCTGGGGCAGGACAGTGCATTCACCTTTAACAGTTCCATCTGAACGGCTGGGGGCAGGAGACGCGGCATTGCCGAGCTGGATCTCCAGATCAGGGCTTGGGACATCCGCGGCCACCCCCCACATCCCCATCCTCGACTCTCTCGTCAGGTACTACAGCCACCAGTCTCCCACAAGCCTTTGCCTGTGTATCCGCGATGGCGTGCAGCCCATTGCTCTTCGCAGTACTGAAATCCCCCCTTTGGGAATGATGGAAAAGAATTTCACCCTCTGATTGGAAACAAGCCATTCTGTTGTGTCTACCGTCAAACTAGAGTGAAGGATGGTGTTGGAGTGCTGGACCTCGTTTCTCTGCAGACAGCTTGCACAGACCCCTTTTTTGTGTGACATGTTAGTAATTTTAATTGTTGTTGTTTTTTTTTAATTGGGTGTTGCTTTGTAGGTGGGCAAAACAAAGAAAAAAAACTATTTAAATATGAATTTTGAATGTTAATCATATTTTTTGTTGTATGTAAAACGTGTAATGGTGACGAACAATAAATGTTTTAAACTTTTCCATCGCAGAGCGGATACAAACTGATATTGATTGTTATATTGTACCTTCTAGTGCTAAATTAGACGACAACTCATTCAAGGGGGGAAATCTAGGCCAATTCAATCTGCTGCTAAAAGTTCATAAAATGTCTTCATTATTGATAAACTATGTTAGCAATAATGAAGTTAAACAATTTCCTGGTGATCTGGGATTTTAAAGCTTCTCTTACATTAAAATCCATTAATTAGCACAATCAGCATCATGTCCTTGTCGGAATGTAAATTTTGAGTGTACACATTTTCATCAAAGGGCAGTTTGAAAATCCCATCCTGTCTCAAAGTGGCCTGGTCACATGGTCATCTCCGCTTATTCATTGTGATTTCCCTCGGCCGCAGGGAATTATTTGTCTTATTAGTTTTTTAATTCTTGTGCTGTATTTCAGAGTTATGCATAGGCACCCTCAGCCTCATTGAGCACTTGTGGGCTTTGCTAGCCCAGTCCCTTTATATACATTTCTGTCACAACTAAGGTTGCTTGTCCTGGTTGTGCAGCGTATGCATAGACGGTAAAGGCTAGCAAAGCTTACGGTTTCACCCCTCCTCTCCCAAACCTGGTGTTTTGGCACTGTTCCCTGGTCCAGAATGAACAGGTGTACTTTCCCAGCCAGGGCATCTATTTTCTTCGTCCTGTGCCAGAGCTGTGGATGGGAGCACTGGATGTAGTTCTGAAGTCTGCGTGCCTGTGCAGCAGATCGCTGCTGAGTCACAGAGCCACATCTGAGCACAGAAAGCCCCTCTCATGCTAACCCCGAGGGAAGCCTGCTCTTCATTGCGCAGTAAAAGATTCCACATGCTTCCCTTTCCCATCTTTCCACGGTGCTTGAGCACAGCGCAGACCCTTGGAGCTCCATTCCGTTTTGTAAGACTGGACGAGCTTATGTCAACAACACCCTGTCTCCGTTGACTGAACTCTCTCCACTCACTATGAACCGCGAACACTGCCTAACTTGAATTAATTCAACAGCACCGCGAAGATCGCAGGTGAACCTTTAAGTCTTTCCAGCTGTGACCATTAAGAAGCCTGTTCGGTCTGGCTCATAATACATTGCATTATTTAATCTTTTTCTTGCCTTTCCACCCGAGACCAACCTACTCCTCCCTGAAAACAGGCCATGCTTTCATGAGCTGCTGCATTCATTTCATTTCGGCCTGAACGCTCAGAAATGCCAGGGCTGAGAAATGCAAGTGCCCTGTGAGATGGCTGCTTTATGACTGCTTATGGGAAGAAATGTTGCACTCAGTTTTAGCTTGGTGAAGCTCTGGACACATACAACACTTTCACAGCCCCCTTTTTAATGGTGAGACTTTCACAGACGTCTATGCAACAGTAAAGGAAAAACCCGGCTGTGTGGTAAAGTTCCTCCTACTCACAGCCCTGAAGGCACAAGGGAACATGTTTAAAAAAGACCTAGCACTGCCAAGGACTTCTCGATTTAATTATAGCCTTTTTTTTCCTTTTATTGGGTTATAGTGACTTGATAAACTCTTGTCAGAAGAGACGAGTTATTGCCAAACCTCATAAGAACCAAAGGCACTTTCATAAGTCATGAGAATTTGGTTTTCCATGAAAGTCTTTATACCCATTTTAACCCTGAGATACCTGGAGCCTGTCCACTAACTCAAAAAGTAATGATTAAAAAACGATCATTAACAATGACAAATTAAAGCCACAGCAGCTCATTTCCATTAGAAAATCAGAATGCCCACGTGATCTTTTTATTATAGACTCACCTGGTTGTGCCTTTACTCTTTGGCCCACAGCGACATGCCCCGTGCCCACAGCAGAGTGCCTCGTGGGTGGAAATTAATTTGTTGTGTTTTAGGTTTTGTACCAAACAAAATGTGTTTTAATAAACAAAATCTAGTACAGCTGTTAAGTCCTGTTTTGAATAAAAAAAGACATTTACATTTTTTCACATATAATCTAATGCTTTTATCACTAACTCATTTAGTTACCCAAAAAAAACCTTTTAACCTAACACTTTTCCTTTAAACTATTTGTAAACAGAAAGAGGTGCAGATTCTGCATAAAAGATCAATATGATGCTGTAGATTCATTACATAGTACTATGAATGCATTATAATGAATCTATAATTATATTGTTTTACTAAACTTCTATTAAACATGCATGAAAGCATTAAAATAGTATTGTACTTTAATACAGTACAACACCTGGGAGGAGTGAATATCAGGGATTTACATGATTCTTAGCTTACAGTTATGAGAAAACAACTCCAGTCCTGGAGGGCCAGACAGTCTCTGGTTCTCTTTACAGTCGAGTCCTTAATGAGCATGTGACAATGGAGTCTAGCACACATAAATAAATACATTTTCACCTGCTTCCTGAGTCCCATGAAGTCGTCACATGATTAATTGCCGCAGAAGATGCATGTGAATAGAGGAGGAGGGCACATACTGTAGTCAATCACAAATAGACAACAAACGTGTACATTCTGACACAGACATATCCCCATTCCGTATGCTGTCTGACCGGTAAAGTCCTGATCGTGGATGTGAGTGTCTCGTGATAGCAGTATTACTGACCCATTTCCGGTTGAAATAGTGACAAGCAGGTCTCTGTTTGGTTGGACCTGAGCAACTAGGAGGGGCGATGTGTGTGTGTCTATGTGCCATGTGTGTTTTTGGATTAGTCGGAGTTGTAGGCAGCAATTAATGGTCAGTGTCAGTGCAGAACAGAGCAACGTGGCACAGAATGGTTATTGCTTGGTAAAGACAAGTGTATCTTAAACCCATATATAGTTCATGTTCCCAATCCTCCCAAAACGTGTGAAGGGGGATTTTAATTCCCAATGACATGACATACCTAACAAAACGCATTTGCTTAACTGGATAAGTCAAATCATTTCTTTCTCCTTAAGCTCAAAATTGAGAGAGATCTCAAAAAACCTTGTGGACAACAACTCTTGAGGACTGTTTGGACTTATTTGGGGAAACACTTTTTTTACCACCTGCAATCAGACGGTTTCTCTTAAATGGAATCACCAAATCTGAGAATGGTTTAGAGGAAGAAAAAATATTCCAGGAGGAATAGGGGAGGTCAACGTGTTTAAGATACAGTATTTTTCACCAGGAACCTCCATTCAAGCTCTGAGTGTAGCATGGTCTCATTGAGGTGCGGCAGCTGGGTAAATTACAACCCAGTCTTGTCTTTGATACAACAAACAGGAGTCGGAGAGAATGGCCATATGAACAAGCCTATGGAAGATTTCATACCTGAGAAAGGGTGACACCTTATTCAATAAACAGCACTGCCTGCATAGGTTTTGTGTTGACACTGCGTCATCCAACTGAATTCAGTCTGAATTTTCTCAGCCGCTCCCCACGTCTTGTGGGTGGTAAGGAGAGCTGCATTTGCCACCCGCCCTCTGCCCTCCAGTCCACTCTGGCTCTCCTGGACATCACCACTCGCTCGGGACATGGCTGCTGTCAGTTTAGATTGCTATTTGGTCCGCTCCTCTCCACAGTCTCCCTGGTTCTTCAGGAGGACTAGAATATGTAAACAGGATGTTTGGGGAAAAATAACAACCCCCACTACACAAAAATACTGAGTATGATTCATTCTTTACAGGCTCCTACTGCCTTGCATAGTTTTATTTCCTATTTTTCTCTCTCTCTCCACATAATCACCCCCTCAGTTCGTACACAGGGAAAAAACTTTTAATAAGGAACACACTCTGTAGTGCAGTTACGGACACACCAAGTGATTCCTGTTTCAAGGCAGGTATGGAGCTGCTGTGTGGGACACTCCCTCTGTTCAGTCAAAGTGTGATTGCGCTGATCACCATAAGCAATAAAACAGCTGGAGTCTCTTGTGCTACCTTCCACTTCCTGTTGACCTTTGAACCCAGCCTTCCAGACATCAGTTCCTCTGATGACCCCACAGTGCCCAGAGATCCACTGAACACCTAGAGCCAGTTTATCAGTTTTCCTCCAACTCATTAACAGGTCAGCTGAGCTTTAACTGTTCATCAAATGAACAATGAACATTGCTGTTTTAAATTCTACCACAAAACAATAAAATGCAGATATTAATATGGAACAAGAAAAAGAGGAAACAAGGAAAAAGAAACATTCTTTCCTAAAACATATTGGTTTACTGTAGATTCATTTTTAAAAAAATATACACACCAGCATCATAATAACAACATTTTTCTGCAGACACCGTTATCTACAATGACTTAAAATACATAGAGGAAATGTAGCAAGAATTTGATTTTGGAATATTTGAATACATTTTTCAAGTTACTATCTCTTCATGGATGTTTTATGTTTTTTGGAAAATCTTTTATCATTACTATAACATTTTCTTCCCATATATAGTTTTGTTTGAAGGGCTAAAGTACTGGACAATTCCAGTCATTGTTTGTTCTACCAAGCGTTATATTTTAGCCATGAGAAGACGCATTCAGAGTGAATTAGAATTTGGCACTCCACCCATTTTCTCCAGCTGAGCGAATGCCATACTGAAGAAACAACCATAAAACTATGCACCGCAGGTTTGACCTCTGACTCTTTTCTTTCTCACTGGGTTGAACCTGACCCGACAGGAATGCCAAACGGTGACTGAGATGGTAAGAAATGGGTTGATGTCCACAGAGTCCACTGTTTTAAGAGCTCAATCGAACCCTTCAGCTGACCAGAGAAGTCAGTTACGGGCATGCTCACATTTACAACATTGGTGAAGAGACACAGAGATCAAACAGTGAAAAAGCATTAAAAAATTAAGCATGAAATTTGCATTAAACCCCAGCCCGACAGGTGCACATCACTCAGCCCTGTCTCAGCACCTTGCACCCTGAAACCCACATGCAGATGTGATTTTATCTCATATTAGTATTTGGCTTAATTTGTTCTCTTCATTGGCTGATACCATATCGACATATATTGACATGTTTGGTGACTCAGCACTCACTGCAGGAAATTTTGAAGCTAACAATTCAATAAGGCTGCAAGCTTAAAAACTGCATGATGTTAGAATTTTATTTCAGGTGTGACTTTCGCTGGACGACAGTCAGTTCGCTGCCCAGAAGAGAAGACACACCCACCTATAGCTCAGAGGCCCCAGTCACTTCACTGCCATAATGCTCAGGATATTCCCAGTGTACCAGTGCCTGCCAGTTCACATTGCAGTACCAAACACAGCTCATTAAACTAAACTCACGATAATGTACTTTAATACTTTCCAATGTAGTAATGGTACAGTGTGTTATTTCACTTTATGACTCAAGAAGGCCCACGGTGTACTGTTTTAATCCCAGACAAATCCCTCGCTAGGCCGTTCCAATCTATTGCAAAAGTCTGACCACAGAATTACCAACCTTTCCAGAAAAAAGGAATCTTTTGCCCTAATACAGGGTTGGAATATATATATTTTTTTCCATTCCACTGTAGACCTAGAAGAATGGTTCCAAATCCTGCTGGGATTTGCGTTAATCCTGAAGGGTTTACGTTGTTTATTTGCTGCCTGGATCTTTTTTATAATAGAAAGGGCCACAAAGCTGAAGAAGCCTAGAGGGTAGGCTGTGTCTGAGTCATGCTGTGGCTCGGTTCTGTCAGTCATGATTTCCAGGACACAGTGTTTTCTTGTTTGCATCTATCGGTTCATTACTCTCACTGGGGATGAATGTATTTTAACCAATGGCAAGTATTCCCTGTACAGGTAAAAGTACAATGTAGATATAACAGCCAAGTAAACTAAACACACTGTTGGTCACAATGCACAACATGAAAAACATAACATGAATGTTTAAAGCATAAGAGGACTCCAAGCCAGGGGTGTTACAGTAACAGAGGGAGGATAATAAATGAGAAGAGGGAGAAAGGAAGAACATGAAGAAGAAAGGAGAAGATGAAACAAAAGATAAATCCTCTGCCCTGTTTTTGACACAGCTACTGCGCACTCAGGGAGTCTTAAGAGCCAGGGGGCCTAGCTGGAGAAGTCACTCGAACCCCTGCGCTCCAGCACACAGCCTTAAACTCGGGTTCCAGGGGCAGTACAGAGCCCTGCACTCTGTGCAAGACAGCTGTGCAGAGCTGATGGAGGGAGGACTCGCCACTGGCCAGGGCTCAAACAAACGTCAGCCAGCACTTCATGCATCACAGCGGAGTGGCAGCTCTGC